ACATGTATGTGGAGGCCCCAGGTAGACATTAGGCATCATCCTCTATTCTCTTTGAGCCAGGATCTCTCACTTAAACCCAGAGCTGGTTGATATGGCTAGTCTCACTGGCCAGCTTGCTCTGGGGATCCCCATCTCTGCATTCTGCAGCTGGAATTACAGACAGGCTGCCACAACCACTCATCATTTATGTGGGTTTGGGGATCTGAACTCCTGTCTTCAAATTCAGTGTTTGCCTAGCAAGTGCTTTAACCATGAGCCATATTCCAAGTCCCCACCTTGACTTTTTGAGACAGGTTGTTGTGTGAACTTTCTCCAGGAGACAAGCAAACATCTGTTTACCCCAGATAGGACACAATGATAGACCAACGAAAGTATTCCATTCAAGCACTAGCTTAGTAAAATAATGACTTTAATTAGAGTTACTTAAAAGAGTATAGTTGAAGGGTTACTTGCAGAAGCATGAGCAATTTATGGACAACTACACCATTGAAGAAAAAAATCTCTTTTTTTTAAATACAGCAGATTTTTCGGGGGGGGGGGGCGGGGCAGGAGAGGTGGCTCATGAGTCCCTCCTCTTAACAATCCTGTTTAGAAACTTTTGCTTTCTGTCTCTTTCTGTCTCTCATCTGTCCCTGTGTCTGTCTGTCTCTGTACGTGCATGCATGCGTGCGTGGGTGTTGAGACACAGTCTCTCATAACCCTAGCTGTCCTGGAACTCACTATATGTAGACGGAGCTAGCTTTGAGATCTGCCTGCCTCTGTGCTAGGATTAAAGGTGTGCACCACCATGCCTGACCTGCTCATAAATCTTATGGGAGAGAGGCGAGACTTCATGAGCCTCTTTCCCTTCTATGGCAGAAAGTTAATGGGCTCAGTCATCTTCTGCAGGTCTTTTTGAAGTACTCACACCTGCTGCTAGTGCAAGAGACTAGTCAAGTCATGTCAGGCTCAGAGGACAGCGTTCCACACACAGGATCTCTCACTGCAGCATGGAGCTCACCAGTTAGTCTTGAGTTGGTGGCCTAAAGCATGAGGTTGAAGATAGCCTGAGCTACATAGTGCTAGCAGGCCAGCCTAGGCTTTGTAGAAATGCCTTGCCTTAATGAGGCCCTAGATTCAATCCCCAGCAGTACTCCTACCCCCAAAAGCTGCTTTGGCAACTCTGCTCATGAGTAAGTCCAGATTTTAAGTATCTAAGCTCCAAGGAACAGCTGTAATGCTTTGCCTGACATCTCTAAGTAGGTTGTTTGCATCTTTGAAGTTAGCAGACTGGTGGAATCAGAAGCTCTGCAGCTGTCTTCATGTTGTACTAGAGTGCACTAGTGGGTAGTTTGGTCTCATCAAGACATGAGGCATGCCCAGGGTCTTAGCTAAGTTTCTGTTGCTGTGATTAAACACCATGACCAAAAGCAATTTGGGGAGGAAAGAGTTTATTTCAGCTTCAGTGTGAGGACAGGAAGTCAAGGCAAGAACCTGGAGGCAGGAAATGAAGCGGAGGCTGTGGGGAAATGGTGCTTACTGGCTTGCTCTCCATGGCTTGCTCAGCCTGCTTTTTTATACCACCCAAGAACACCTGCCCAGAGCTGGTACCATGCACCCTGTTTGGGCCCTTCTACATACATGCCTTATGAATCAAGAAAATGCTCCTTCAGGCCATCTGGTAGAGGCATTTTTTCAGTTGAAGTTCCTCTTCCCATTTGACTCGAGCTTTTGTCTAGGTGACAAAAAACTAACCAGGACTCCCAGCCAGGCTCCAAACTCCATCCTCTAGTAAGTGATGAAGTTTGGCATCCAGCAAATGGTCTTGAGTCCATGGAATAGAAATCTCTATTCTTAGTGTCTTTGTTTGTTTGTTTGTTTGTTTGTTTGTTTTTGTTTTTCGAGCAGGGTTTCTCTGTGTAGCTTTGCGCCTTTTCTGGATCTCACTCTGTAGACCAGGCTGGCCTCAAACTCACAAAGATCCGCCTGCCTCTGCCTCCCTATTGCTTGGATTAAAGGTGTGTGCCACCACCGCCCGGTTTATTCTTAGCGTCTTAAAGGAAAATTTGCATTCAAACCTGACCTAGAGGATATTCCAAATGGGCATACTAGCTTTGGTGAATGGCTAGCTTAATTAGATTATTAAACACCTTGGGAGAAACTAGTAAGGATCTCAAACAACCCTAGTTCTTCAACAAAAGTCACCTAAGTGACGCTGTGTTCACTAAAGGGGAACTTTGGGTATTTGTGAGAAAACAGCCTCCCACTCCAACGACTTGATGCTGCTGTGATGGCGGTGGTGGCTTCACTGGGGACGTTTAGGATAAAGTTTCTGAGGGTTAGGATCACAATCCAAAATGACTGTCTGTAATTCTGAGAGTAAGTGTCGGGAAAGTTAAAAACAGCAAACAAGAGACATCGGTATAAAGTTGAACAGTAACGTTTGTTTGGCCTCTGTTGCTCTGTTGAGAGCCTTCTTTTTGCTCTGCTCTGTGTGGGGAGAACACTGCCACCCAGCCTTTCACTGGCCTCATGGTTACTGATCCTTATTCAGAACAATGAGCACTGACCTCGGAGCCTTCGCTCTCTGCTTACTTACAACAAAACGATTTATATATTGACGTCCTGTTTCCCTGCCTGCATTGTATACTCAGAGAAGCAGAGGTTATGGCTTGTATTCACTTCTTTATTCATTCCACAGATGTACTTATTAGGATGCAGCATGAGCACATAGGAAGAGTTTTGTGTGTTCCTGGTGATGTGAACAGTAAAAGAATGTGAGCAATTAGTTTAATGAGTATATAGTTCTTGCCAGAATAGCTGCTAAAGGAGGAGTAGTGCATTTGTGCTGTTATTCACTCCTAGAACCCCAGAGCCTGGTCACTGTCACCTTTGCAGTAGAGGACAGCATATCCTTTGAGCCTCCTCTGCTGCTCTCTTATTACAGTGTAAGAAGATATATAAGGTACAAAGATTTCCTTGGAGCAATGTGTGGAGGCTCTTAGGATCCCAACACTAAGAAGACTACCCTTGACTTCTAGGCCAGCCTGGACTGCCAAGTGAAACCCTGTCTCAAAAACCAAGACCAACAAGCAAACATTGCTTGGTACCTTTAATTCTTTAATCCCTGCAGAGGCAGGAGGGTATCTGTGAGTTGAGGCCTTTCCCGTCTACACAGTGAAACCCTGTCTCAACAACAAAAGAAAAATCTCACAAAGAATTTCCTTGCCTTGTATTTATGCTGAGAATCAACTGGTTGGGTCTTAGTGCCTAATAAGAGATCAATGTGATTGATACACATGTGTGCTGAGATGATCTGTCCCTTTCTTCTTCAGAACCTTTGCCTCCTTTCTCTCTGGATCACAATTAAGATATTTTTGAGTGCTGGGAGTAGAGTGGTAGTGCACACCTTTAATCCCAGCACTTGGGAGGCAGAAGCAAGCCGGGTCTATGAACAGCCAGGGCTACACAGAGAAACCCTGGGGGG